TTTAAAGTCTAAGGACCATTTGATGTGGCAATTTGGAGGTAATAATTAACAGTTTTACCCAAATTACTAAAAATAAATATTTGATAAATTTATTTATTTCAAAATAGTTAAAAATTAAATATTTGGTAAAAAATTTTATTTAATAGTTTAAGATTAATATATAACGATTAGGGTTTTAAATCGTTAACAGATTGAAAAAACTACATAAGATAGCTTTTTGTACCAAATTACTAATAAATTAGAATTTTTTAATTTTATTGATAAATTTATCTTTTTTAATTTTTCATTTTTTTTCACAGTTTTTAATTAGTATTTTTTTAATTAGTTTCAACTATTTTTTGTCTTTAATAATATTAAGTAATTATTATATATTTTTACATTAATTTATTATAAAAAAATATATCAACTTAATAAATAAAATTTATTAATCAGATGAAAAGAATTAATATTTTTTTGTATTTTATTTAAAATTAATATATTTTTTTTATTAAAAATACAAATTAGTGTATGATTACACTATTATAATTTATTATTATTTTTTTATAAAATTAATAATTTTCATAATAAAAATAAAAAATAAATTTAATTATTTTTAAATATATCTTTATCAATAATTTAATTTTAAACAAGAGCTATTAACTAATGTATAATCAAACAATTATTTTAATCAAATTTACTATTTACTCTCCATTATTTACTTCTTATTATTTGTCATTTGTTAACTGTTACTTATTATCCGATATTATTATCTATTATCTATTTCTTGTTATCTATTAAACTCTATTATTATACAAAACATATCATGAAACCAAAAGTTATAAAAAAAAAAAAAGGGAGCTTTTCCCCTAAAGAGAAAAAAAAAAGAAGAGAGAGAAAGAGAGAGATAAAATCTCGTAAAAAATAAAAAGAGAGAAATTGAAAACGGAAGTACATAACTTTCATGTCCATTCCCCAACCCTACCCTACCTTTTTCCATCCCCCACTTATACTTTTTTTTTTTTCGGTGTGTCTCTCTTTTCAACCAACAACTGCTAAACCGGCTCTTTTTCGTTTCCCTCTTTCTTTCTTCCCCTCCTTTCTCCATGAAAGCTTAGCTTCTTTCAAACAAGACCCAGAAATCAGAAATCAAAGGTACAGATGGGAAAGTATATAAGGAAGACGAAGACGGTAGGGGAGGTTGCTGTAATGGAGTTGTCGCAGTCCTCCCTCGGGGTTCGTACCCGTGCTAAAACCCTAGCCCTTCAACGCCTCCAAAAGTCCCTCTCTTCTCCAGCTAATAGGTCAGCTCCGGTTCCATCTGGGTCAGCTGGTGGTGGGTCGTATCTTCAGCTGAGGAGCCGTCGCCTTGAGAAGCCACCGATTTTGGTCCCCCACGACTCTAAGAAACAGAGGCAGCATCAGCAACAGGGTGGTAACAGACAGGGGTCGGTGCAAAACCCTAACCCTAGGCCTAATTCGAGGGCGCGGATGGCTCAGGGGTCAGGTTCGGTCGGGGAAAAGGAGGGCGAGGTTGAGGCTAAAGAAGACGAGATTGCACACGGGAATGATGATAGCCATGCGAGCAAGAGAAACAGTACCAACAGGGATTTGAGTGTTGAGGTGTCTTTTGGGGAAAATGCTTTGGACATTGATGGTAGAGAGAGGTGGGTTTTTCTTTTCGTTAAATTTTTTAGTTTCTTTGATTTTTTTTTTCCCCATTTGGATTCAAGTTCTTCTGGGGTTATGTTTGGTTACTGAGAAAGTTGGAGAGAATGGAGGATTCATTCTAGTTTCTGGGTATTTCTTTTTAGTTCCGTTGGTGGAACTTTTGAATTTTATTTTCAAGAGGGATTTCAATTCGGGGTCATTTTCTGCTTAATAAGCAGTGAAAGAGAAGGTTTTGAAAGAAAAGTCATTGGTTATTTTAAAATAATATATCAAGTAGGAATGAAATTTGATAATTTACCATTTCTATCTTTCCTGCACAGGAAAATTATTAGTCTCCTCTCAAAATTTTCAACTTTAGGGCTTCTGTTGTTTGGCATCCGAGAAAATATTAAAATTGGGCTTTCTTTTTTGATGAATTCTTTGTGTGTCTACTCTTCTAAATTTGAATGTTTGGAACCTTAGCTAGTCCTTAATGATTTTTGTTTTTGTTTATCTATGGGTCCATATTCATTCTGATTCTGATCAAAGGAAATAAGACTGTGTATAGTTCTCGCTGGCAGATAACGAAAGTAACAAAGATTATCATCGCGTTTTTTTGTTGTTGTTATTTGTGGTTGTTGTTTTAATTCTATCTCTGTTTTGAACATTGGACATTCTGACATATAAGATGGATGCTACTCAGAAAATCTGGTTTTAAAATTAATCTTTCTTTGTGCAAGTAGAATTCGTTCGATAAACTTCTGAAGAAAACTTTTGTGCTTATGAAACACAAGCTGTGATTCATGGTTGGGTAGAGTCTCTGCAGCTTAACTATTTGTGATTGAAGCATGCCAAAGTGGAATAAAAACTCCAATGAAAAATGTGGGGTCTTTTCCTTTATTTCCTTTCACCCCTAGAGTTGTAGTATTTTTACCTGAAGAATGCCATGCTGATAAAGGCCTTTCCTTCTACATAACATGATGATCAACTCTTGTGCTTCAGCATTTTTGGTTGTTGTTGGGGCTTTAAATAGCCGGAAAAGATCAGTTTTAATGCCTTCTATGGCGCCTAATAGCAGGTATTTGCTTTTTGATTCTGTTACTTCTTTGTTATCTAACATTCTTTCTTTGCAGGAGCACTAGGGAATCAACCCCTTGCAGCTTGATAAGGGATCCAGAAAGTGTAAGAACGCCTGGTTCTACTACTAGGCCTACTAGTTCAACAGATGCTAACAGGAGAGTTCAGAATTCAATGCAACGACGCATTCCAACAGCACATGAAATGGACGAGTTCTTTGCTGGTGCAGAAGAAGAGCAGCAAAAACAATTTGTTGAGAAGTATACTTACCTGAGCCCATTGTTTCTATAACTGCAATTCTTTGCAATAGCACTTGGGATGTATTTATCTTGTAAACTGATGATATGTGGGATGTTTGCTTATTACAGGTACAACTATGATCCAGTCAATGATAAGCCTCTTCCAGGACGCTATGAATGGGAGAAAGTGGACCCTTAGACATCTCCAGTGTTCCATCAGGACTTATTTTTCCTGCTAATTCTCAGGCCTTAGTTGATCTTGAACTTAGGATTTTTTAGCAGGAATTAGTGTTAGTTGTAATGGTGATGGTCTTATTTCCATTTTCCATCACCCCTAATTTACTTGTAAAGAAAGTAGAACCGTTGAAAAAACTGTGTAGACTAATGGTCTGTAACATAACAGAGGTAATGAGTCACACAACAAATACAAATCAAAGTCCTTTGTCTAACAGATCATCTGAGAAGGGAAAGGGAAGATGGTGTAGGTTTAGAGTTAGGACTAGCAAACTAGTTCAGTCTATGTGGTACAGAAATTACTAGTTTTTCTCTTTCTTTTGTACTGTATTTTCCTCCCTTTCCTTGTCTATACTTGTACTGATGGAACTCCAGAAACTCTTTGGAATAAACGAGATTCCTTTCCTCTCTCATATTATTTTTTCCTTCTAACACATCTTATATCTTATGCTTAGTTAATTTTTGGCCTATTTTATCTTCATCATGGACAATGGAATTTTAATGAGCCTATGATGGTAGATTGATAAGCCTATCCCTATGATCTAAACCAAATATTGTTCAGAACTGAATGGCTCCTCTAACCTCATAAGGATGGTTGGTGGATGGATGTTGGTAGTGGTGGGGTAGCATTGTTGGAGGTAATGTACTGGAGGAATCTTGTCACCTCTTCCATTTGCAATCCGTTTGTGTGTGTAGTTAAATAACTGTCTCATCGGCATTTTAGAACATCTGGACTTATATGGTTAGATGTTTCAAAGTTTTTATACAGAAAGATGTCAATTTTTTTTGAAAAAGTTTTCACTAAGAGAAAGTGATTGAAGAAATACATTGTGGAAAGTTATAAGTTTTGTGCTAAAATTTTTGAAAAATATAAAAAGCTACAAATACTAATTTTTGTGTAATTTTGTGTTTTATTTGTAAAACTTTTAAAATGCCAAAGAAATTTTCAATAAAGGGGGAAAGTTTACTTCCATGCCAAACATGCCCCTGGTGTGCACAAACATATTTTTTTAGTTCTGCTTGAATTTCTCTAACTTATGGGTTGTGAAAAATTCAGATGACTATGATTTTCTTCCCTTGTATTTTCTTTTGTGGAAATATTCTACCAAGAAAAGGGTTGCACTCTCGAGAGACTGAAATAAGAACTTTGATTAAGAATGTGCATGCTATGCTGCTTTAGTCCAGAATAGTAAAAAAGTCAATGACCTTTTCCATGACATCTGATCTTGTTTCAGGCCACTAATAATGGGGTGTTTTGATTAAAAAATGGTGGTTATAGTGGAGGTGGGTGGTGCACTGTTGTTCAAATGTCATTTGATGAAATTCCGGAATCTCCAATTTCCAATGAACCCCCTTTTTTTTTTCTTTCAAAAAATCTGTTGGGTATGGAAAATTTTTCTGTGGTGAGAGCATTGATTGTTTGTTTTTAACTGATGGTCGATGGAACACTAACAAGAAAACTGCCTCCCCCATGTGGATATGTTTGGTTCTGACTGTTGTTTTCTAAAATCTATGTAAGGTCACATTAAGTAAATGCTAGGGCTTAGGGCACCTATATATATTTTTTAAAATTATTAATTTTATCTGTAATTGTATAAATTTATAATTTCTTAAAATTATAACATTTAAAAAAATATTTTTATAAATTAATTTTAATTTATTATATAAAAATATTAATTATTTTATAAATTATAAGTTATTTTTAATTATCAAATTAAGATGGTAAATTTGATAATTTTGATGGCCTTACAAAATTAATGGGGGCTATATCTATAGGCAAATGTTAGCCCTTTATGTGAATATCATGAAGGAAGAAGAGGGTAGAATCGGTACTTCACTATGAAAATTGAAAACAACAAAAAACCATTTTAACTCTCAAGAGGAAGAAAAACCGCCATGTTGTGTATTTGGACATTTGTGCCAAACTGTTAACTGTAAAAACAGTAGTACTTTTTTAACGCTAGCAGCATCATTGTGTTTGTATTAGAAAATGAAGAAGGTAGCTTTCAAATGGGGCCTGCGAAGGTGTTCGGTGCAGAAATGAGAAAATCTTGGCATGTGCTTTGAAGCTACCATATTGTAAGTCCATGTAGATTGCAGAGTGCAGAAAGCCCCTAGTGGTCCTAAGGAAACTTTCTGATTCATTGTGACATCACACATCCATCTGATGCTTTTGTAAGGTCAGAAAATGATGAATTAATTCAATTCCTCTCGAGGGAAAGGGGGATAAAATGATAAATGCCAAGGGATGAACATGAATTCAGTGATTTACCTCAAACATTGGGTCCACTTAATGATGGCATCCCAAACATGTCTCAATTTTGAGTCTGTGGGTAATTTGATTATATTCCTGGTCCTGGATTTTGATCCGTGAATGC